AAATGGAAATGTTTGTAGCTATATTTAACAACTCTAATGGTTTCTTTGAATGGAGCTCTGTCATTAAATGTATTATTTACAATTATATTTTTCATCATGATGGAAATTTATTTTAATATAACAAGTGATAGAACTGCAAATATGTATAGCTTGCAAAAGAGTAAACTGTGTCATTTATATCCTCAGCAGAGAACAGTGAGAGCCCTGGTGGCACCAGATATACCAAGCAGACTAAACTAACACTGCCACAATTCTGAAATCTACCTGATTATTAGACCTATATAGCCCACAAAAGTGGGTTATGACCTGTTTGCCCAAAATAAAAAGGTGACTGCCCGCTAAAATTTTAAAAATTCAAATAAGACTAACAGTTTCCTAGCATAATATCCAAAATGTCCTGGATACGACTGAAAAGTCACCCATCATACCAAGAATCAGGAAAACCACAACTTGAGTGAGAAAAGAAAATGAACTGATGTCATCAACTGAACCTGAGCTGGATCAGATTTTAGAATTATCTGACAAAGATTTAAAGTAACCATCATAAAATGATTTAATAAGCAATTACAAATTCTCTTGAGATAAAAAGGAAAGGTAGATAAAAGGAAAAATAGAAATAAAAGGAAAAATAGAAATTAACAGCAAGGAATTAGATGCTACAAAAAATGGAAATTATAAAACTGGAAAATAAAATAGGAGAAATAATCAATTCTCTGGATGGGTACAATAGTAGAGAGGAGATGAAAGAGGAAGAGAATAAAATTAGTGAATTTGAAGACAGATCAATAGAATTTACCCATTCTAAACAAAGGAGAGAAAAACAAATGAACAGAACCTCAGGAATCTGTGGGAAAACAGCAAAAGACACAAAACTTATATTATCAGAGTTGCAGGAGAAGAAAAAGAGTAGGGCTGAAAGAGGATTCAAAGAAAAACTTGGCTAAAGAGATCCTAAATTTGGCAAAAGACATAAATCCACAGATTTGAAAAGCTGAGTGAATTCCAAATAGGAAAAACCCAAATAAATTGACACCAAGACACATCATAAATAAAATTCCGAAAACTAAAGACAGAGTTGAAGGTGTTATCACTACCACACTTTTTCTCTACAAGTAGCCAGAGAAAGGCTGCCAATTTCAATGACAGCAGATTTCTCATTTGAAACCATGGAGTGCAGAAGGAAGTGATGTAGAATTTTTCAAATGCTGAAAGAAAAGAATTGTCAACCATGAATTCTATATTCAACAAACTACACTTCAGGAACAAATGGGCAATAAAGACTTTCTCAGATAAAGGAAAACCAAAAGAATTCACTAGCACATCTATTCTTTTTTTTTTTTGATGTAGACTATTTTTAAAGTCTTTATTGAATTTGTTACAATGTTGCTTCTGCTGTATGTCTTGGTTTTTTGGCCCTGAGGCATGTGGGATCTTAGCTCCCAACCAGGGATTGAAACTGCACCCCCTGCATTGGAAGGTGAAGTCTTAACCATTGGATTGCCAGGGAAGTCCCAGCATACCTACTCTTAAAGAAAGGTTAAAGGAAGTTCTTAAAACAGAATGTAAACAGTAGAATAATAATCTTGAGGCAAAAGGCAGAAAGGAAGAACAATGGAGAGGGCAGGTAAATATAATAGAACACTCTTCTCTGCATGAGTTTTCTAAATCATATGTAATGATTAAAATAAGAATTATAATACCATCTTATCCTCAAGACAATGATATTTTAAAGTGGGGAAGACAAAGGGACCTAAATGGAAATAAAGTTTTCCTCCACTTCACCCAAAATTGTAACATGTTAATACCAATAGGCTATGATAAATTACATGTGTATATTGTAATACCCAGAACAACCACTATGAAAACTACACAATACAGCTGAAAATGCTATAAATAAATCAAGATGAAATCCTAAAAAAATGGTCAAGTAACCCACAGAAAGATAAGAAAAGAGAAACAAAGAAATCAAACAGAAAACATAATAAAGTGGCAGAGTTCACCCCTAATAAATCAATAATTACTTCAAGGTAAATGGTCTAAATATATCAATTAAAAGGCAGAGATTGACAGCATAATTTTGAAAAAGCATGATCCAATAATATGCTTTTTAATAGGCCATTTAGAAGAAACTCACTTCAAGTTCAATAAGTAAGTTGAAAGTATAAGGATGGAAAAAGGCATACCATGCAAATGTTAATTTTTTTAAAAGGCAGGAACATGATTATTTATGTAGAAAATATGAGAGAATTGACAAAAAATCTCCTGGAACTAATAAATGATTATAGCAAGGTTGCAGAGTACAAGGTTAGTATAATATACAAAAGTCAATTGCTTTTCTACATAACAGCAATGAACAAGTAGAATTTGAAATTAACAACACAACACCATTTACATTGGCACCCCCAAAACGAAATACTTAGGTATAAATCTAACAAAATATGTATAAGATTGATATGAGTAAAACTATAAAGCCCTGGTGAAAGATATCAAAGAACTAAATAAATGGAGAGATATCCCACGTTCATGGATAGGAAGACTCAATACTGTCAAGGTGTCAGTTTTTCCCAATGAGATCTCAACCAAAATCCCAGCAAGTTGTTACATAGATATCAACAAACTGATCCTAAAGTTTATATGGAGAGGCAAAAGGCCCAGAATAGCCAACACAATATTGAAGGAGAAGAACACAGTTGGAGGACTGACACTACCCAACTTCAAGACTTCAAGACAGTAATCAAGACAGTGTGGTACAGGCAAAAGAACAGACAAATAGATAAATAGAACAGAATAGAGAACCCAGAAACAGATTCATGTAAATATAGACAACTGATCATCGAAAAAGGAGCAGAGGCAATTCAATGGAACAAAGACAGTCTTTTCAATAAACGGTGGTGGCCACAAGCAGAAAAATGAAACTAGAAACAGACCTTACTCCCTTCACAAAAATTAACACAAAAGGGGTCACAGACCTAAATACAAAAAGAAACACCTACAAAACACCTAGAAGATAACATGGGAGAAAACCTCTTGATAGGTAACCTTGGGTAAGTTGACTTTTTAGATACAGCACTGAAGGCATGATCCATGAAAGGAATAATTGGTAAACGTCACTAAAATTTAAAACTTCTGCTTTGCCAAAGAAAATGTCAAAAGAATGAGAAGACAAAGTGGATAACGGTTCATGAAGCCCATTTTCTTTTTATTTTAGGTACACCACAAAACTAGATTTCCCAGTCTCTGCTGCAGTTAAATGTGGTCCTAAAACTAAATTTGACCAATGGTATGTGAGTAGAAGACATAGTCACCACTTTTAGGGCCATAAAAAACTTTCTAGATGCCACACTCCATTGTCTTTCCTCCACCAGTTGCTTGTTGCAATAGAGCATGGTAAACTTGGAAACCATGTTTTGAGGATGGAAAAAAAAGAGAGGAACCTGTGACCCTGAATCACTATTTGAAGGACAATTGATTATGAGAACCCATTTTTGGAATTCACACGAGTGGAAAATAAGCAATTTCATTAAGCCATACTTGGGGCAGCCCAGGACTTCTTAACTCATATAGTCATTCTTGGCTGCTCTTCAGAAATTAAGGCCAACACACTTCCCTGGAACATTTCACTGCCTCTCCTGTTTGGATCTGCAGATTCTTTGGTCAACCATGTTCTTTTATCTGATAAGGCAACATTAGCAATGGCCTCTGACTTTGATAGAATCTCTTCTTTATAACCCTGAACCCAATAAAAAATTTTAGAACTCCCTTACCTTGTTCCAAGAGGGATTTAAAGTAGCTGACAAAAATACTTACACTATACCAGGATCAAACAATTCAGAAAAAATAACAAAAAAAAAAAAGGCAAATGTAAGAAACAGAAACAGGAAATTTAAATAATCTCAGAGGTAGGGTAAATACAGAAATATATTCCAGAAAAACATATATGCTTGTAGAACCCACTTTTACCTATAAGATTTCTGGTATCTTACATTGTTGGGAAATGTGATGTACTACAAGATTTATTTCATGCTTTTTTTCATTTATCAAGATTTATTTGCACACATTTACTAAGGGAAAAAGCATGCAAGCTAGAAGCTATTCAGGAAAAACAATACTTATACTGATGTTGACACTGGAGAGGCTTTTCCCCTGTGTGTTTTTCATAGAGGGGACAGTGAATAAGGAAATCTTCTACAGCAACCTTACAGCAAACACTGCCATCAAATAAATAGACCCCCTCCCCCTTTTTTCTTATTCCTTATTTTCTTTTCTCAGAAATCCCCAATAGCAGCTGAAATATTTTCCTCAGATATCACTGGATCTATTGAGAAAAGAATAAGATAGAAATCTAGGTTGTAATTAGTTTTCTCAGTGGTATCCTTGCAATTGCAGGTAAGTTGCTACTCATTACCAAATACGGGACTGTCTCCAAACTTCTGAAAATTTTCAGAAATGGGAGCAGACACAAACACAACTGTTCATTGGAAAACATACGTGCACATTTCCTCTGCGTTTTGGAGTAAGAATGCTGTAGAACAAGTTACAGTCATTTAAATTTGATATAGGGAACAACTTTAGCTATAGAATAGTTGATTACTTGAGACTAGATAATTTTTCTGTGTAAATATAAGTACGTTAACTTATTTAAGCAAATTTGAATAACATAAAATGTAGCATCATTATAAAATATAATGACATAAAAATTCCAACATTTTCTGTTTATAAGGTGAAGAATTTGAGTCAGCTTCTAATTCCCAGGATAATGTATACAGGTATTTCCCCTTTCGTACACCTCTTCTATCCCTATTTTTAACATTTTCCTCATGATCTGAGGAATTAGGATATGTGACATGAGGTATTTTTCAGGCCCACAAGGGGGACCCTTTGCACCACAGCAACAGAGGTTATATGGCACAGATCTCACTGCTCATCCACAATTTGGTTGAATGCGTGATCTGCCATCAAGCGCTAGAAAGTCAAGGCATCTCCCCAGCCCTGGGCCTCACCTGTGAGTCCAGGTGGACAGATGCAGATGTAACCTGAGGCTTCGGGGTGGCCGGATAGAGAGAGCAGCTGGGCAAGACGCCCATGCCCTTCCCCTGAAGACAGCTCCACGCATTCCCCATCAGACTGGCAGGGGCTACTACTGCATTCATCGATGTCGGTCTCACACTGGGCCCCCGTGTATCCTGCAGGATAAACGTTCAGAGAAGCTGCTGAGTCAAAGCCCCTCAACCATAGAGTATGTGCCTGACCGGAGGCTGGCCACTGTGCTGGCACCAGTTAACAAGGTGCGGGCCCTCCCTCAAGGAGCTGGCAAGGGATCTGGTAAGGGAGGCTTCCACGAACATGAGTAATAGTAACAATGGAGTCACTCCTATAATATCGATCAATGCTTTTAATAAAGATTGGATGAACAAGGAACTTCTGGATAACCTTGATCTAACCTGGGCAGTTTAACTAGACTCCAATTCCTCAAATATTCCAATTGTTTGAATGTTAAGCAAGGAAAAAAAATGATATATTTTTCCAGAGAATAGCTGTAAAGTCAGCAGGATCTACATAGCCAACCCTAAATTCTTCTCTTAAAACTCAAAGTAAAGGTAAATGGTTGCTTCTTAACACTCAGTGAGACAATAAAATAGTGAATTGTATTTGAATGGATTTGGCTGGGTCATTTTGTTAGGGACAAGAATAAAAACAATAAAACATGAATGATTTAGTACTTTATAAAACATCTTTATTAAATATAAAAAAAAGTCCCTATCAGAACTATTCCCCTGGTTTTACATACATATGCCCTGTTAAAACTATATATGTATATATTTATTGTGTGTGTGTTAACATAACTGGAATTGTACTGCACGCATCCTTCTGCAACTTGCTTTTTGAACTCCCTTGCACGGTCTATCCACGTTAAATTTACAATCGAGAGTTGTAAAAGTTATAAAGCAAATCATGGTATTTCTTTACTTTAAAACCATTCAATGGCTTCCCTCTTCACACAGAGTAAAATTTAAAATCCTTAAGCTGACCGGCCCTTTATTATCTGGCCCTAATCCCATCTCTGCATTCCTGTCCCTAGAATGTTTTCTACCCCAGGGCCTTCATAACATTGTTCCCTCTCCAGAAAACCCTTCTCCAAGACTGTGCTTGGATAACTCTAAGCTTTCAGGCTCCATCTCTTATTACGTTCTCTTTTCCTCATGGTCAGATCTAAGTAAGATCCTTTTTCCTCTCATATACCCAATTCTTTCCTTTCATTGTCTTACAATGAATGCTATTATGTACTTACTTTTATAGTTATCTTTTAAAATTTATTTACATATATAGCTTTCATTTGTTGATGTATTTGATAGCTTTCTCCCTCAACAGACTGTAAGCTTCACAAAAGCAGGGACTGTTTTTTTATTCTCCACTCCAGGACAGAGCAACACCTGAGTAGTAGGCCTTCAATCAATGTCTGAATGAGATTCAGATAGTTCTAATCAACAATTTAGATGATAATCCTAGCTTAGCAGATAAACTAGAGAATTGATGAACTCGTAATAAGCAGATAATGAGAATATGATGTAATCGCTTATTTTGTAATTTTAATAAAAACCTGAATGGGGACCTATGTCAGATCGTAAGCACAACATAAATTCTGTTGCTCAACAATATAATACTTTTGTCACATTTGACCCCTGGGGTCTTTGTCAGCGGTCTGAAGAAGAAACTTAGAGTCAAAAAGGAAACTAAAAGCACATGTCAGATCAAGGTCCCACAATCCTTGGTAGTGACCCTCCCCCAGAACCCTCAGTCTTTTACCCCTGAATGTCTACTTTTTAAGTGCTTCTATTTCATACTTACGGATCTACAAATATTCACTAAATAATGGTTGTCACAAAGCCATTATAAAAACTTGTGCTATAGTCGATTTACTAAAGAAAGTTCTGACTATTTTCAATTTTCTTCTCATTCTAAGTTTGAAGACTCACACACAGGCCAGGTTAGGGAGTAATTTAGAACCTTCATAAGTCCTTTCTGGCTTTCCGGCTCATGCATTGTCTTATTCTTATCCTGAACATTAGGAAGGTTCTGATTTATAATAGTCTTACCAGTCCTGTCCCCACCACTGGGGCCCTGTGGGGCTGTGCTGTACCCTTTAACCATGTATATAAATAGATTCCTCCAATCAAGGCTACATTCAATAGATTTAACAAGTTTTCCTGTAAAACTCTGTACAAAGAAACAATATGATGCTGAGTCAAGACCCCAGGGTTCTTAAATTATGTTTTTTTTAAAAAAACAAACCCAATCTTTTCTGGGTAACAGGAAAACTTTCAAGATAGGCATTTAAAGTGACTAACCCTTCTTGTAATTAATTACTCTTGAAATGAGGACCCTGGGCAATTCCAGCAGTGGATTCTTGCTATCGTGCTCAGTGGCAGTGGTCTCGTGATCCAAAGGAATGGTCTCCTTTTCTTAGATATGGAGTAGCTTGTAGCATTAAATCTTCTCTTTCTATATAACTGTGAGAATTGGGTACAAAGACATTCTGAGTTTTCTCTTTAGGCAAAATCACCGTCCATCCAGCGACCCAAGAAACTCAGAAGTAGAACTGTCCTAAATTGGTGTCCCTTTCTCAATCCCCACATCATCTCTACCTCCTAAAGTGCTCTCACGGCCATCCATCCCCTCATCTCCACCCTCACCACTATGGTCTTTGTTCTGGCCAGTTGGCTTATCTCTTATTTAAACTATTGCAGAACTCTCACCAGATTCCCTGCCTTTAGCCTTATCTCTCTCAATCACCTTCCACTAAAGTGCCAGAGAGCTCTTTTTAAATTAACAGGTCAGATTCTGTCACTTCTCTGCCCTGTAGTTTGCAGGGCACACAAACAGCATTATGACCCAGCTTCAGTCACATCTTGCTCCCCAGCCCCATCTCTCCACCCTCAGCCCTGTGTAGTCCAGCATTTTAAGCAACCACTCCAAGTTCCACAATTAGACATGCTCTCTTCCACGTGTGCCTGCTGCCCTTTCTTCTTTCCCTCTTCTTTCTCTTCCTCTCTTCTATCCTTAAATAAGTAATGAGCTGCTACGTGCTGGCCATAGGGTCTAGAATGGCCAATCTCCTAATCTTAGCATCTAGTTGACATTTATCAAGTGCTCCCTATGGTCTAGGCTGAGCTGGGAGCTCCTTCTATATTGCTGGAATTGTCTCCACAACAACACTATGAGGTGGATATTATCACCATCATCTCTGCTTTCTCTATCGATGAGGGCACTGAGGCTCAGAGTGGTAACATGGCCAAAGTCACACGGCTGGTGGGTACAATTCTGGGATATGCTTAGTGATCTTTCAAGTTTTCTAAAATGGTGCCTCCTTGGTCAAGCCATCCCTGAACTTCTTCTCTCCTTAATCCCTTTTACAGAATTTATTAGAGCTTCTTATTGTACCCAAAATTGTACTGTACACATTTTTTTCACACTGTATCCCAGATGGAATTTAAGCTCCTTGGAAGGAGGAGCCATGTCTTTCTGATTGCCAGATTCCTCATATGAGGAATCATGGCACTGAAATCCATGTGGCTTGAATGTATGGAACACATGCTGGTCTTTTTTTTTTAATAAATTGTTATTGGAGTATAATTGCTTCACAATACCATGTTAGTTTCTGTGCCCTAAAGGTTTTGTATTGGAGCCAGGCAGTTAAGAGGAGCTGCCTACAAAAAGACCAGGACTGGCTTTGCTGTGCCACATACTGGTCTTTTTTTAGGCAGCTCCTCTTAACTGCCTGGCTCCATTACAAAGCCTTTAAGGCACAGAAACCATCTCTCATACACAATTTCCACCTCCTGGTGTAGAGCTTGGTGTGTAGTAATACACAGTTGCCTTTTCTTTGAGTACCTAATATGTGCCAGGCTCTATTTTTATAATTTTACCCCTTACAACAACACTACAAGTAGTTTTTTTGTTTATCCTTCATTTGCGGATGAGAAATTTAAGAATTAAGAGGTAACTCACCCTAGTTTACTTGGTTAACAAATGGTGGACTTGTCCTGCTCCCAAGCTGTCTGCTCCATGCCCTGCTTAGGGACTGAGGTCCTGCCCAGAGTGTTGATTGAGTGTTGAGTGTCGGTTGATGACAAGAATGTGGAATAACATGTTTTGGAAAAAATTCAGTATTACAGAGGGCCTGTTGATTCAAGTGTTACATACTGTTTCCTACTGACCAGAGCCAATGACCAAAGGATAAAAATATACCCTATTCGTTATCTGGAAGCGGGGAGACACACGAGATACATAGATTTCTGAGCCACAGAAGAATTCCAAACTTCCTTTTATACTTTTATGTTTGCGTTGTTTTTACCTACAAAATGCATTTAACCAAAGCGTGTTACACGTGCCTCAGGCAATGAGATGTCTTTCCATCAGAAGCTGCTACTGACAGGACTGACCCTGGTCTCCGTGCCTCCTCCCTGGCCACAGGGTCATCCTTTCCTCAGACAGTAATGTGAGTGGGGAGGAGGGGGCAGATGACCAGCAAGCTTGCAACAGCTAGATTTTAAATAATCATAAATTTATCAGTGTTTTCCAATGGATCAAGAAAGAAGAGAGGGGCTTCCCTGGTGGCGCAGTGGTTGAGAGTCCGCCTGCCGATGCAGCGGACGTGGGTTCGTGCCCCGGTCTGGAAGGATCCCACATGCCGCGGAGCGGCTGGGTCCGTGAGCCATGGCCGCTGAGCCTGCGCGTCCGGAGCCTGTGCTCCGCAACGGGAAAGGCCACAACAGTGAGAGGCCCGCATACCGCAAAAAAAAAAAAAAAAAAAAAAAAAGAAAGAAAGAAAGAAGAGAGATGAAATGCTCTTTCATTTCTAGCAATAAAATCCTAGTAAGAATTAGGTTAAAATATGTCAAGCAGGTTCATTGCCAAAATTAACATCAATATTTATGGGTGGCCTGTTGATTCAAGTATCACATACTGTTTCCTCCTGATTCTGCTATCACCTCTACACTCAAGTCTAATTACCTTATAAGTGTAATTTTTAGTTATGGTTTATGTGTTGTGTAACTTGTATTGTCTTTTACATTATAAAGGGCTAGGAGAATATACCCATTTCTGGAATATCATCCTATACCCTTTATGGGTACCATTATGATCACACTGACTCCATGAATTATAATACAAGCACTTAGGATTTTAATAGTGATTCATGGGCTTTAATATATTCTAGGTGTCAAGGAAAACATCTTGGAGGAAAAGGAAGCATCTTCCAGTGAAGTTTACTCCACAAAGACCATGCTGAAATTGACTCTTCCACTGACTTTTTTTCCTCTGTGTTTCTTCCAGAAGATTCTGATGATTGGGCAGCTTGGTAACCTACTTCAGACAATGTATAGTGTAGCAGTAGATATGTTTGAGCACTGAAGAATACAATTAAATTAAACAGTGATAACTAGAAGAAAGAGTTGGTTTTAAACCTTTAGAAAGAAGAATTTTTAGTTTCTATTTGCTATAAGCGATTTGTTTCTATTCTAAGCAAAAAAAAAAAAAACGGTGGAAGATATTTTGTCACTTACCAGGCCAGCAGTGACAAATGTAATTGTCAGCACTGTCCTCACATGTAGCATTATTGTGACAGGGTTTTGACCAACATGGAGGCATCAAGGTCTCACAATGTGTCCCTGTGAATCCACTACCCATGCAGTTACAGCTGTACCTGGAGAGTAAAATGAAATTGTCACATCAACTCTTGGTCATATTAAGATCATATATTGTTATCCTGTCTCTTCACTTGTCCATCAACCCCAGACCCATGGCATGGTTTTAATACTTATCAAAAACCTTGAGGAATCATCTCTATAAGCCTGAAAGCATTATGTGCTTCCATATTAATAGCTTTTTATCTTTAAAATTTTACAGTACAGTTTTCAATCAAAATTATTTGGAAACCATGATTGTATACTTCAATTTCCTCACCCATAAATTGAAGGTAATAGTACCTTTGTGACAGGCGTAATTAAATGTGCATATAAAGAATGGAAACGGCATGCCAAAGGGCAGAAAATACTGAATACAACTACTGAATAGTACCAAATAAAGTTGTTAATATTATGAAGCAGTAGAGACTGATTTATATCATCAAGGCACTTTTTTATATAGAGAGCCCAGAAAAGAAGTCCCTTATGAAAAATGAAACAATAAATTATGAAAAAAATAGGAAAAATTCTCATTATATAAATTTTGACTTATGTTTTCTTATTTTCAGAGTACAAGAATATTTTAGTCTTGCTATTTGTAATCATTCACTGATTAAGTGGGATTATCTGACAGACCTAAAATACAAATCTGTTGGGGAGAACTGTTCACTTTATCGTAATAGGCTTTCAATTTAGACGGTCTCTCCTCGAGGATCTAGTATCACAAAAACATGGGCTTACACACTCAGCTTAGATAAAATGAGTGTCTGGGGGGAGGGATACCTAGTATTGTATAAAGAGTAACAGTCCTGTTCACCACGGCTGTGTGTCTATTTACCACCAACACAGATATTAAGATTTCACTAAGGAAACTTAAATATTAGCAAATATAAGTGACTATAATTTTTACACATAAGTTTGCTAGCTAGAAATCCTCTATTCACTATTCTATTTACTTGATTAAAAATACCTACTACAAATCTACTATGTGTAAGACATTGGAGGCAAGAGCCCTGTGGTCACGGCTGGCTAGTGGACCTCAAGTCAAGGAATCAGTCTCCATTTGAATCTTCCTTTGTCTGCAAGAACCTTTCATGGGGTACAGTTTCTGACTTTCCCACGCTCCTCATAGCAAATGTGTTAATTTTTTGCTGTGGGAAAATAAAGTCAGGCTGTAATTGCTGACCTTGCAATGATCTCAAAAATTAGGTCATAAGAGAGATGTGGATACAATAGAAAAATTATTCATGGCACGCATTCAGGTGAAGAGAGGAAAGCTGGCAGGTTCAGCCTTGCTCTGTTTGCATTTCCATAGACATTACAAGCGTTGTGTGCCTTCTGTTCTGATGCTTTCTGGAAACAGTGAAGCATGGCTGGGAGAGCATCCTCCTTTTGTCTGGAGCGCTTGTGTGGAAACTGTCTTTCTGATCTATGTGTTGCCCAGTTACCTGTCTCCAGGACTGAGGATTCATGCCACTGGAGAATCATTTGGGTGTAACTGAAAGTCACAGGCAAGACGTGGAGAATGGTTATAGTTTACAAAAAAAAAATGTTCTACCACTTTGCTCTATTTAAAATCACATTATTTTCCTGGGTATATATGAAGCACACGTGCCTTTTATTGCTGCCCTTTTGAGTCTGATTCACTTTAAAATTCAGATTTAAGATATATTATCTTATTTATTAAATGAAGGAAAGTTCAATTCTAGGCCTCCTTTTTCAAAGAATTAACTGTGTGAATTTGTGGGGGGATGGGGGGGTCACCTAACTTCCCTGAACTTTAGACTCCTTATTGTAAAGGGGGAGCTTTAGTGCCCATCTTGCCGTCCACTGAGCCGCTGAAGGATCTGTCAAGGCAATATTAAATGTTAATGCTGTTAAAACTTAAGTGTTTAATAACTCAATGCTTGTGGTTTAAATAAGTATTAGAAAGTTCTTTCAAAAATATTTATATGAATTCAACTACCATTACCCAAATTTATTATATGCATCATATTAAGGTGTAATTTATTGTTTTGTTTTTGTTTTTACTGAAAAGCCAATGATAGACTCTAATTTGGAACAGAATTACATGGCTACTTCTCATCATTCTGCTGTCTTCAAAGTATTCACTCAATTCTCCAAACACCCAGAAATTCAAGATATAATTAATTTAATATCAACACCCTTTCCAACACTGTTTATATAAAATTCCTAAAGGATTTATTTTTCACCACTTGATTTATATGCTTGTTATTTTATAAATACAATCTTATATTCACATATAGAATAATCTCTAGCTTTGTTTTTGCATCTACAAAAGATATGGAAGGTAGATTCCATTTGTTTCATGGATTTGGAAGGCTGGCGCTTTTCTGTAACAGAACCAGTTCAAAACTATTACAAGAATTACTTAGAAAATGCTCCCTCTTGAGACAGATGGCGTCCAAAGGTTGCATTATTTTAATAAAATGTGAATGTCACAACTTTTTTATATTTAAAGTATAAAAAGCAATCTGCACATTTTAAGCCAAGGATGTGAGACCTCCAAATTCACCAGAATGACTGGTGCAATAGCTTCTGGTCAGTGAGTTCGCTCCAAGCCAATGACCCAAATGTAGGAGAAAATGTACCTGTTGGCTCCATCCACGCACAGCCCTCCATGGAGACACGGCCCACTGGCACACTCATCAGTGCTGAGCTCACAGCCAGCACCCAGGAAGCCAGGGGCACAGTCACAGAAATGGGCCTCCACAGCATCCTGACAGGTTGCACCACTGAGGCAGGGCTGGGATCGACATTCATCAACTTCCAATTCACAGTTTACACCTTTTAAAAAAGTCGGCACAGAAAAGAAAGGCAAAGTTTTAGCAAAGCGTTAATATTTTCGCTCTTTGGCAATGCTTTATTTAGCAAGGCTCTTGTGAAACATGATGTTGCCCCAAATAATTTTCCTCCTTAATTGTAATTGATATTAACTTTCTGGTATGCTCGTGGGACGTTCACAAAGCAGAGCAGCTGTCACTTACAAAGAATTACTGCATACAACAGCTCGTGGCTTTCTGGTCCGAGGACACAAATCATTCTTAGGACAAAGTAATTGTTTACTGTACTTCTGTTGGAAGCCTGAAGGGGACCGGCCAATGTCTTTAGATTATTTTTAATAGGAGTCATATTGAACAGTGGGTAAAAGCTCAGACTCCAAAGCCAAATGGCCTGGGTTGGGATCTTGGCACAGCCTCTTTTAGCTGTGTGACCTTGGGAAAGTTCCTTAACCTTTCCTTACCTCAGTTTCTTCACCTGAAAAATGGGACCAATAGTTGTAATTACCCCATAGGATAATTATTACAATTACAGTGTGTTCTAAAGTGTTTATGATAGTACCTGGCGTATACAGTTTGCTAGAGAAAAAAAAAAGTACTTGTTCTTTCCACAAAATTTATTGTACAAATATGATGTGCAATTCTTTCCTTAAGTGCCCCTTTTGCACAGAAATATTTACATTTTCTATAGTGCTGTAAAATGCTGCTTTTAAATAGAAAATCAATTTGACTTAAACTCGTTGTAATTAGTGGTATTATTAGAAGCTACTTCATTTTAAGGTAACATTACATTTTAAAAAAATCTGTATTTACCCCCTTGCCCAAATAGTAGGTGAAGATTATTTTCTAAGCAAACCAAGTTTAAGATTTACAAAAATGGTCACACTGAGATAGCAAACTACTGAATCTACTACTGAATCTGCCAAAACAGTATCTGATACACAATCAAATTTTCCCATAGGTTTTAAAAGACACAAAAGGGGGGCTACCTATATTTGTCAATCTTTATTCCTGTGCCTATGACCCAGGGTAATAAATTATTAAAATGATATTGAGGAGTTTTCAAATAACTCAGAGGTTTTTAGTAGTTTGATTGATACTGTGCCCTCTTTCCTGATAGAAAATACAATAGGATATTCTAACACCACCTGCCATTTACAACTGTGACTAGGTTCTACAAATGCGGAAGTGAAAAGAGACGCCAGCATAGTAAATTTGATTGTTTTCTGAGAGGAAAAAGAACTTAAATTTTATGTCACTAAAGATGGAAAGTTGTGGAATAGTATTTGTTGCAGGTAAATGGCCTGCCATTTGAGGCTATTTCTCACCCGGTCTGTGAATGAGATTTTCCGTACCTGTTTTCATTGGTATCAGAAAGGTCAAGAGAAAGAGCACTGAACCGTCCGGTGGAGACCTGTGTTCTCATTCTGTCTCTGAAACAGCTTTTCAGCAATGTTTTCGTATCTTTTTTTCTGCCATGTAAAATAATACAATAACAGAAACCTCTTTTTTAAAATACTTTCTAAGAATATATGAAAGGTAAAAATGATACATTATTTTTTAAAAGTTTTATATAATTATTTTTAAACACATGTAGCAACTGAAACTATAATGTGTTAGCACTCTGTTAAAATGACACTGATCGATCAGGACTGAGAACTCTGCTCACCCCAAAATGATCCATCCCTGTGGGCTCCTGTGGTGCTCTCTGCGCAGACGGCAACTGGCACTTATCACACAGCTACAATGTGCACATGCAGGGTGAGGTGATGTCACATGTGTTCTTTTATTCCATCCCAACACATTTAAGGTGCACTGACTTGCCTGTGTCCCATAGTTAGTAAATGACAGTGTCTCTGCCATTCCTGTCTCCTCCTGGTCAACCCACCTCTCCATAACACCTTCGGATTATGTCCTTTGGTATTTTAGTCATCTGTATTTGTTGAAAGCTATTAACATATAAAGCCAAACCAGTGGTTTAAAACTTGTTAACACGTTCCTAAATTTTATTTCATAATTCAAATAAAATTCATCTATTCATCTGTTATACACCCAGGTTATTTCCTAATGCTTAAGAAATACATTATAAACCATTATTTTAAATACTGCAGCTCCATTTATAACAATGTCGCTCAAATGCTTTAGCTTTAAAGTGATCCTGATGCATGTATAAGAACGTGTTTCAATAACTTAAATACAATTTCAGTTCAAACAACTATTTACTTTAGATTTATTTGATTTGTTTGTAGATTTATTTGATTTGTTTGTATTACTCTTTTTTTTTTTTTTGCGGTACGCGGGCCTCTCACTGTTGTGGCCTCTCCCGTTGCGGAGCAACAGGCTCCGGACGCGCAGGCTCAGCGGCCATGGCTCACGGGCACAGCCGCTCCGCGGCATGTGGGATCTTCCCGGACCGGGGCACGAACCCGTGTCCCCTGCATCGGCAGGCGGACTCTCAACCACTGCACCACCAGGGAAGCCCTGTATTACTCTTAATATTACTTAGCAATGTGATTCTTACTGCAGCTTTTCACTGCTACTGATATGGAAAAAAAAAGTGATGTGGTCTACGTCTGCATGATGCCAAAATGGCTGGGTGAAAAGTGATAAGTACAGTCAGTCATCCAGATGTTTTTGTATTTCCAGATGCTTGGCTTCATAGGTAAAACATCTGGAAAACTAACTATGATTTTCAGTTTTCATTTGGATGTTTACTGTTACATGCATGCAGCCATTAAGTATAGACAATTAACTGACCTTCAAAAACATACCTACACAGTGTGGTCCAGTCTCTCTGGAAACATTCTTTTTATGACTAGTGTTACTATGTATGGCGCCATGTCATTATAACTCTAGGTAGCAATAGAAATTGAATGCAGTTACACTGAGTAGCACTTCTGTGGCTGATTGTCTAATAAATGGAAAATTCATAACTGTAAAATTCTTTCACAAAGTTCATCCAGGAACCCAACCAATCTGTTGGAATTGGTTTATAATTCTGTATGAAACAAAAGAAAATAAAAAGAGTTGGGGGGAAGAAAACACAAATAAGGGGAACTCTGCACCAAAAGAAAAATGTACAGGGCAGGAAAAAAAAAAATCCTCTGACTTTATCAGCTTTGGCGACTCACTATGACTAATGTTGTGCTAACATGCACAGTGGCATCTCTACATCAATACAGGTGACTAAGATGTGAGATCATGAATTCCTGGCGGTCAGGGATAGTTCCACTCTGAGCTATGCAATTTTCATTAGCTGTCAAAATAAGTTCAGAAATTCCCTCACACCCAAATATTTTTAAAGATATCAGTTTCAGGGCTTCCCTGGTGGTGCAGTGGTTGAGAGTCCACCTGCCGATGCAGGGGACACGGGTTCGTGCTCCGGTCTGGGAAGATCCCACATGCCGTGGAGCGGCTGGGCCCGTGAGCCATGGCCGCTGAGCCTGTGCGTCCGGAGCCTGTGCTCCGCAACGGGAGAGGCCACCACAGTGAGAGGCCCGCGCACCGCAAAAAAAAAAAAAAGATATCAATTTCAAAGAGGGATTGGAATTACACGCATTTCCCTTAAGTATTAAGTAGAAAGGTAAAACGATGAGAGATTCCCAAGTTGACGCGCTGGCTTTGGTAGAGAAGCAGCGTTCCTGGAAAATAATCTAAGAATGCTCCCCTTCTTCTTATGTAATTAATTTAAAGCAAAAAGCCATTCCACCTCATCTTGGTTTTCAGGACGGCGCTTTCAGCGGGTCCTCCTTTTGTCTCTTCAAATGCTTCTTGGCTTGATTCTTCCTTCCCTTCCCACGCCCCCCTCTCTCCTTGACTCTCCTTTCTTTCCCCTTCTTGGTTACTTGCTACGTCATTCTTTTTCCCTTTTCCTTATATGGAAAGATCAGCTTCACTGGAGGGAGAAGACTCCACTTCAGTGTGAATCTTCACTTCATGCCCTTAAGGGTAAGAGAAGGGCCAGGGCCGCTCCTGCCCTCCTGCCTCCCCCTCCCCCTCCCCCAGATATCCAGTCAGAATACCCCATTGCCTGAGGCGGAAGGCTGTCGTGTTAGAACCCAAGAAAAGTGACATCCAAGCTTTGAGTGCAATGTGTCGGCCCGAGTATGCCGGAAAGTCTACTGCTGGCACAGCACTGCTGTCACCCCTTCCTAAGACGGCCTCCCCTGCATCACAGAGATGCCAGAAAATACACCTTCTCAAGTCACCTTCTCCCAGTGCCTCGTGCCTTGAGCTTGCCAATGAGGGGCACTTATGGGTTTGGAAAGTGGGAGAGAAGCCAGGATTCTCTGGACATTTCCTAGACTGGTCCCACACATGCACAGATGTGCCTCATAACAGCTTCCTAGGGAGTCTGGAGACCACTCATTCCACTGCTGCAGGATGGGATGGCTGGAAACTTCCCTGAGATTCTTCAGAACTTCAGCGCTTTCCTAGGAGCTTTCAAGAACCCCCACTTTGGTGCTTTGGACAAAGATCTTTCCTGGAAACTTCTTTGACTTCCTTTGGCCATCATACAAGCAGTGCCAGCCTCTTGGATTTGATGGCACATGACCTTCGCTGTCACTCAGGGCCCTGCGCCTAGAAGGGTCCTGTATGAATTTCCTAGAGCTTCCATAACAAACTACCAGAAACCAAGTGGCTTAAACAACAGAAATGTATTGCCTCACTGTTTCCAAGTCTGTGATCGAGGTGTCATCAGGACTGGTTCCTTCGGAGGGCTGTGAGGAAGAATCTATTGCAGGCCTCTCCCTCGTTTCTGATGGTCGACTGGCAATCTTTGACATCCTTTGGCTTATAGAAGCATCACCAGAATCTCTGTCCTCTGTCCTCAAATAGGAATTAAGGGCTTACAAATTACATAGGCTGTTCTGTGTACAAGCCCTTAATTCCTACATTAAACTCTTCATATCTGAAATATATAGAATGAATTTTTTCCTGACCAAATCCTGATTGATACACAGACCTAAGATAGAAAAGACTGGAGTAGCATACTCAAACAAGCAG